CCAAAAACATACGTATCAGTAGAAGTCCTTTTCCTCAGCACAGGAGCATTTAGACAGGTTAGGCTGTGAGCGTCATCGCAGTTCTGGTGGTCACGAGGCCCCTCTGTTCTACTTACGGCCGCAGTGTCCACTAAAGGCCTCAGAGAGGTCCACCGGGTTGTTTTCGACTTCAAACTCCTTAATGTCCGCTTTTGCATTCCTTCTGGTTACGAGTCTGCATCTGCATTCAGAAAAGTGTTCTATTGAATACTCGGGTAGCTGATAAGACTTGATGGCATCAATAGGCCGAAGGATCTTGTTACGCCGCCACAGAGATCACGTCGTTTGTCCCCAAAGGTAATAGCGGGCTAGATTTTGCAACATTACTTAATATGACAGGTAATATTTTGTTTTCTTTGCCTCGATTTTCTGGCATAAAATCCACTCTGTCTTTATCAGAGGCCTTGTTACCGTTATCCTGCCGTTACAAATACCTGCGTCTATACTTACTCTGTTAATGCCTGTGCCTAAGGGTGCCCACTTAATTATATTCTTTTGAACTTTTTGAATTTTGCGCTAACCATTTTAACTCGAGCACTGTTCAACACCTTCGCGTGTCATTGTTCAGTTGCACACGCGTCTTGAACTCTGCAAGCTCGTGCTCTAACTGTTTTGCTGGCACGTCTTCTGGGTATCTGTTTGCAGGCATAAAGACAGCGAGCGTAAATGCTGGATTGAAGGCCTTCTCGACAGGCTTCCCTTCAAACGAAGTGCTGGTACTGGTCGCGTTACTATGATGAAATTTAGGCAGAATGGTATTACCGACAAAGACAAGGGAGACTGGAATGGCCATTTCTGGCTTATTATCCGTCGTCAGCCAGACATACCCAAGCCCGAAGTGTGGAACACCCGGTGGGTAGAGGCGTGGAATTCTAAACCAACAGGTCGCGAGTTCGAGGCTCGGGTGTTCCACACTTCGGGCTTGGTTATGGCTGGCTGACGATGGCTAATAAGCCAGAAATGGCCATTCCAGTCTTCCTTGTCTTTTTCGGTAATACCATTCTGCCTATATATCATGCGCCGCTGTGCGGCTGCTGGTTCGGCTCGAGAGAGAGCCCTTAAAGCACAACGGAACGAGTGAGTTCCGTATGAACGATCGGTGAACGCCCCATACCATTATCATGAAATTTCTGACAGTCCATAAACGTTCAAATAAAAGCGTAGGTATGAATTCGCTTTCGAGAATAGAATGGAAACTTCGGATTGTATATGCAGAATTACGACGAGCATTTGAAACCCAACCAGCGAGCAACTCATTTATTTTTTTCAAAGTCACTCTAAAACTGACAAATAGTGCGAAGTAAAGTCAGGGGAGGATGAAACATTTGTAGGCCTCGATGGGGCTAGAAAACTTCTGGTCATCAATGATTTTGAACTTTTGCTTCCTTAAACTGTGGTTTGCCTATGACTTGGCTGTGTCTTCGGTGGAACTGTGCAGCCCAATACAGCCTAATATAAAATCACCATGCAGTACATGTCAGAGGCCTCCCACGGGCTTGAGTTGGTGTTCATTGCGGACTAAGGGCGAGGAAGAACGAAGTAGTGAAATGCGGAGTGGTCTTCTTGCTTGAATTTTACACGAGGTTTTGGATAGGAAACGAGGGAACTTGACGGCCAGAAGGAAACCGGTTGGTTTTAGTGTAGTAGATTGTAATTAACCGTTTTATCATGCCCAAAGTGAAGGAATCTGTGGTGTGTTTGTGATTTTGTCATTCATTAAACCAGGTTTTGTCAAGATAATCCACTAAACGTCTTCTTCAAGGTAGTGTGCGTATTCAAGAGCTTAGTTTTCGGCGACTCCAGCTTATCTGAACAATTCTTAGACGATTGTAGGCCATGAAATATTTGCGAATTATTGAATGGGCGTGAACGTGAGAAAGAAGCAGGAAATGATTCGTCGAGGTGTCAGCCGCAAAAACGGTCACCTCTTGCTCACGCCTGCCTTCCCTGTTCTGGTGGATAGGATCAAAGCTCCATATTCAGAATGTAGAACACGGGAAATGAGGAAGACTTGGTAAATGTTTTTTGTCGGTCTTTGCCATTGTAGCAGGCACTGCACGCATTCTTTGGGCTAGTGTTACCCTCCGTGCTGGCAGATAAGATAAGGATTAGAGGAAAGAGTTGGTGTTATGGCAGGAAGATAGGTGTGAGTGAGATCGACGGATTGTTCGTTGGAATGAGGTTGCGATCAAGGGTTAGGGCTATGACCATGAATAAGTTTTAAGGTTAAGTGAAATGTATAGGTGAGCTGTGTTTACGAGTTAGTGGTATGGCTGGGCTCCTGGTTGAAGGTCATGGTTTGCGGTTCCTTATCCGGATTATGGTTAAGTGACTGGGTGGATCAGACACACATTGGTCAGCCTCTTAAGCACTGGGAGTGGCCAATGTGGTGAAAAGGGCTGTGTAGTGGCTATCACTTTAAACCAACTTTTTGTTCCCGCCGTGCAGGTGGATGCCTACCGTGAGAGTGCTTAGAAATAAAAATTGACTACCAAATCGGCGGACATCTGTTCCAGATTTGTCACGCTCAGGGATCCACATGAGTTAAAAAGACCAATGTTAATTTACTTTTATCGTAGGTGACTGCGCACTAAACAGCCCAACTCAAGGTGACATGAAGGCGATTAACGCTTACTTAGAGTCCGACTTCCCCGACTTTCTATTTGTCACCAGAATTGAGGAGACAATGATTATTCATCAACCGGAGCCAAATAAAGACTTCAACGAACTCAGGAGTAACGTTACCGAAATTCGTTTCCCATCAGTAGAAAGATTCGTGTACCTTGGAAGTATAATTCCATGGAATGTGTCCATCGACGACAAACATCGCAAGCATAAAACGCTTGTTCTAAGAGTGCTCTTCTCGGTGCTGTTCTGTTCCTCAAAGTCCCCATTCAAGGAGACGCAACAAGTGAACTCATGAAAAAACACTCTGACCAAGATGTTTGACGAATCTTTCCAGCGCCATGAGTCCGGGCATCATTTTCAACCAAACTTATTTTACACGGAGTAGGTAAGGCTAGGTTGCCAGCTCAGACCACCTCCAGGTGGATTTACTCATTTACTTGATCCTGCAGAGAAGGTTATCTTCGTCGGGTGAGTGGGCGCCTATCCAAAAGAATGCGGTAACATCCCCCGGCATGGTTAGGGAAAGACAAAATCAAAAGCACAAGCAGCGCCGCTCTCATACATATTATTGATTCCGGACATTGTGTGGAGAGCAATGAAGCCTTCCGTGTGATTTACAAGGTTCCATCGAACTGTCCTAAACCGCTGGGCCAACGTTTGCTAGCAACAGTGAAAGCAACTGCTGCGTTTGTGTGTGCAGAAGGACATGATACAAGCTCCAGTCTGACATGGCCAAAGATCGGTTGGCTGCATACACTACTCCACGCTCTACCCCTCCCACCCACGCTGGCACGGTTTCGCCCGACCCCAGAGCATCTTATTACCTCCCCATATTCCTACACCCGCTGATAAGAAAAAGCGGATTGTAATCGATTTCTCTTATCACTCACACTTTTAGCTTTTGCCTCGTTCTCACATAAATGTACTGGCCCATCATGAGTTCATCAAAAGCACACGTATGCTTGCCAGCTGCTCTTCCGAATCATCCACATTTGAATTTTCGTAACTCTTAATCTATATCAGACACTGCAAATATGAAAAACAATCATGTTACTCCAGCCTGAATGGATCTTCCTGGGGACCTGTTCCTTCTTCACTTAGTTAAAATAAACTGTCCTGTGGTCGTCCATTACAAGGGTTATTTTAGGTCACCATGCCGATCTCACTCCAGAAAACAAGCACTTTTTACGCCCCATCCGTGCTTGGTTGTAACGGTCGAACCCGTAGGCCTACCAGTGCGACATGACTTTTTTTCATTAATGGTGGGGCATTCGATCCCATTTTTATTATCTTTCTTCCTTTATTGCGTTAAGTTTAAGCACTCATCTAACCTTTTCTTGCGAGATGAATTGATTTCACGTAGACTCTTAGGGACACAAGCTTTCCTGAGAACAGTGTTTATCTGATCACAATGAAGTGAACGCAGACTCCGCGGGATGCTGCTATTGCTGCAGCAGAAGCGGCATAACACATGTCCCCTCTGAAACTGTAGTCCTTTAACTCGATTTTGCGGTGTCAGCGATATCCCGTCTCGAAAACCCACTTCAGTCCAACCCATGGAGTTAGCTGACGCCAATAATAAAACTTGAGAAATGGTTTATAATCCTCTTAAACACAAGGAAGCGCATACTCTGTCTGGTCTTACTGCACTGTCACGTTTTCCAAAAAAGTGCAGAAAAGCTATTCTAGATATGTACTAGGTAGGAAACTGTCTTTTTCTTACCCTTCTGCATTCTCATCAGATTTTACAATTAGCTTAGGAGGGTAATTTTTCGCATGACCAGCAACTCGATATATTTTGGCGCACTCTTTTGATCATTTACGCAACTCGATATCTGAACACATGTTAATGTTGAACCCAGAGTGTAAAACCTGGTCATATCCCATGCTGTATGCTATGAGCACCAAGAAGCTTCCTCATATTAACGCGAGCAGCTATACAACGTTGTTTTAATTAATCGGTTGACTTCAAAGGGGCTAAGAGGAGGGTTTGTAGTGGCCCTACTTAGAGCGCCTACTGCGACGATGGGCCGCTCGCGGGTGTTTGCACGTGCGCACCAGTGTAGCGGCCGAGGACGTCAAGGGTGGCACGCACCAAAGTAAGAGAACGTTGAGAGTAGATCCAGGAGGAGATAAATCTGAACAGAGTCGTTAGCATCTCTGAACACTCATTCACACTCAGCAGAAGAGGGTACGTCAGGAACGGAATACAGTAAAGTATAACAAGGCAGTCATGGGAGAAACGTATAATAAGAATAGTTACTCGTACAGTTGGAATGAGTTACAGCCATCAGATAACCTGTCTGGGTGAAGAGGCGATACCGACATGCCAGCTAAATAACCGGTGGGGAGCGCAGCGCTGTGGGCAACTGCAGGGGAGGGCCGAGGGAGGTGCCGATGTTGCGAGACGGAGAGCGATGCAAGCGTTGCGATACGGTACGGTAAGGGGGAAGGGATCGGCGGATGAGAGAGGAAGGGGCACCGGCCATCTTCACTGACACGCGGTTACGCCATCTCCACCCTAGGTCCTGGCGCGGAAAAGTGTCACGCATTCAAACAATTCTGTACAGGTCCAGGGGCGTTACACCAGGGCTGTCTGACATTCGCCCACTCAGCTTCCCTGCCGACCAATCAGATTCAAGGCCGAGTCAGACGTGGCCTGTCTTAAAACGCTTTGAGGCATTCCCTGATGGGAACTTTGGATGCCGCTCATCCGGCGCCGGACGTGCCCTTGTCCGGGTGCGAACTCTCTCCAACCTCTTCTCCGGTTATTCTGTACAGAATATACTATCCTGCCCACTAGCCTCCCCCTTCTCTTCCCATTCGGGACAGGGCCTGAAGGTGCTGGCCTAGTCTTCCTTCGATAGGTTTATATCCGAAGTCTGACTTTAACATAGAGACTGAAAATCGCCTCCCAGCCACCCACAGTAGACGTGATAACTCGTGAAATGTCATGAGCTTCAAAAGAAAATCCTGCAACGGAAAATCCGCCTTACAACGCGTTCCCCAAAGATTTACAGCTATAAAAAAGATTGTTCTTAAACAGGTAGCGTGGTTAAGTTTATAAATTACCATTAACTAACGAGAAAATGACAAATTTTCACTTTCAACCAAAGTCTCCGAAAATGGTTACAGTACAAACCACTTAAATAAGGCAAACTATAAAGGTGCATGAGGAGGGGCCGCGCAAAAAGCGAAAAGTAAGGAAAAATAATAATAACAAATGAGGGAAATCAGTACCTTGTTGACTACTCATTTGCATTTAACACAGCAGAACGTCTCTCAGACATGGCGGCAGTCAGATTGTCTTGAGTGCATTGCTCATTGTGATTATCTGGCACAAGATCAAGCCTTCTTTACAGTTGAAAATTCTTCTTTGCCTTGTGCCAACATTTTGATAAGTACAAAACGATTTTCGATAAAATTAAAATTCAGGCTGTTTGCAGGAATAGAAATCGAGTGCAAGCCACATGCAAAGAAGACAACTGTTGTCCAAAGAGCTGGATTTCAGTTGCAAGCGTAGGCAGATTCACACCTCTTCAGGGCGGCGGACAGGGGCATTATCGAGTAAAATTTTGGTATCCATTTCACAATGGTGGGTGTCGTTGTAGCCGAAGACATACTTTGCAATTTTTACGAACAACTTGTTGTTGATCGTATCCGTAGTCGACCGCCAAAGTGGCCGCTCTCCGAGTTTAATAGCCATCCAAACCATCAATTGTCGACCACTTTGAAGTTTGCCGTCGATGCAGTGTGCTTTCTTAGAAATTTCTTTCCACATATAGGGCTCCCCGCAGAACCTTCACAGAAGGATCTCGGGGTTTGGATACAGAACAACCTGAACCCAACACTACAGTGCCACAAGGCTGCAAAAAACGCCATGGGAGTGCACCATGCAATCAAAAGGGCTTTCGTAACCCTTGACCAAGACTTTTTTGGGAGAGTTTACGGCAACTTTGTACGGCCCCACTTAGAATATGGCACACAAGCACGGCGGTCATGGCTAGTAAAGGACCAAGCATGCCTCGAACGAGTACAACGGCGTGCAACAAACCTGGTAGGCGGTCTAAAAAGCCAGTCATACACAGACAGACTGAATTGCCTTAATTTATTCCCTCTGTGTTACAGGCAGCAAAGAGGTGATCTTATCATCGTCTACAAGATAATACATGGCCTTGAGCATGGACTTAGCCTTGAGAACATGTTTCAGTGACACCTTTAGCCCAATCTTCATGGTCACTCGATGAAGTTACGGACAACAATGTCCAGGCTGAATCTCCGTTCTGAATTTTTCACGCAGAAGGTAGTGGAGAAATGGAACGATCTCCCTCAGTCCGTCGTGGAGGCGATGTCTTTGCAACTCTTCCAGAAACGCTTGCATGATTATTTGTGTCCCCGGTTTTCCCTCGACAGTCTGAATCTGAACTAATACCCCACAACCCCACGAATATTTTCTCTGAGACAATGCTACTCAAATGACTCAAGTACTGTTTTAGTAGCGAATGTTTTTATTGTTCGTGTACAGTTATTTCTAACGAACTGACATGTAATCAATAGGGTTTTCAAAGGCTTTGCCCATAATCCTTACCAAATAAACTGAAATAAACTATTTGCCTGGGTCGACTTCGTAGGCTTACCTAAATACAAGACTTCCTCGTAAAAGTGTTCTCCTGGGTAGACGGAAAGTAATCAAAATAATTCATAGCAAACAAAAAACATTCTCCAATATGTTTCCAGTAAAAAATGGTTTGATTACGGCCTTTTGCTACTGAAGTTCAAATTTCTGCGTTCTCTTCCTAATTATGTTTAAAGGGAACGCCGACAGACGTTCCTTGTGAATGGTCTGAATGGGCATATAATGGTGCTTTCTTAATGTATGACGAATAAAATCGTTGTCTTGCTAACTTTTTGGACCGCTGTAGTGTACTTCGCTAAATTTTAGGCGCAGTTTTATCGTTGGTGATTTGCAACAGAGCGACCTTAGTAATATTTTAACGAACACAACAACAAAGCTAGATGTGTTACAAAATACCCACTCAAATTTCGGTCCCGATATTTCATGAGTTAGGTCATCTACTGTATAAGCACAAAATCTGTGCAAATGACATGCATTTAGTGCAGCTGCCTTCCATCCAGTGCCAACTTTCCAACTGAAAATGACATTGAATTTTCTACCACCGCATTATCTGCTGATTACGGCTAACCCGGCTAAAATTCTTGATCACTTTATTTTTAACTTATGGGATCTGGTAAGTTGATTAACCAGAGGTTACGTCCACTACGAGGATATTGACAAATCCCTATTAAAAGATATTCGTGGAATTGCACGGTCGTAAATTCAAAATGCGCCGCTTAGCAGGTGGCTGTCATCGGTTTTTCTTTCGACACTCCATGACAAGTATTTTCAAGGTTGAATTTTAATGTTTTTTCTAGCCTGACCGCCTATTGGCTGCTTATGTAATTGCCGCTTAGAGCTCATTTTCCCGGGAGTGGTGTGTAGAAATGACCAACCCCCCGCCGACAGTTGTGCCTTTCCTTAAGTTGTCATCCTGTCGTCTCATTAAGTAGAGTCTAATTTTGCAATTTAAGGTCATAACCCGAATGTTTGTCGGCAAAATACAGCAGATGTGCTAACTCATGAAATGTTAACCGAAGTTCTGAAATGCAAATAGTTGCGTTGACGGTTATTCCGCTAGAAACCAAATTTATCTAAAAGTGGCATAACGACATTCTGACCGGCGACTCCTGAACGATGTGACAGGAGAATGTTGATGCGACGAGAGTACTCAAATGCAGTCGGGGATTTAGAGAAAATTTCAAAACTTCGAGCACCAAAAGAAATGATTCGTTAACCAGTCAGTCTGTTGTCGACCGAAGCGTTTGGCTGAATGGGAGTCGCCCTTATGGAATCAAACTGTTAAGAACTAATTTATGCCGATTTTGAAATGATAAGGCAGATCACTTATGTTCCATGTTAAGGAAATATATTGCTGAGTGTTCTTTTAACTTTTAGATCTGCTTTCTTCTTAGAAAATTCGATGTGGCATTGTGTTGTCTGATAAAAAACCAACACCGTACAAACGTATAAGCTTGCCGTACGTTCAGAGAAGGACGCTTTTATTGCTTCTAATTAATCAAATGCAAAAACAATTGAACATCTCTACTCGCTATACGCCTTCTCACCCTCGGGTTTTGGGTCAGGTATTGGCTCAGATTGCTGCAGCCAAGCACCAACTGGCTGGTCAACTGATACCGGGCGCTCGCCTGCGAGTTCAAGGGCCAACACTGGCGAATGCGCCGTCATTCGTGATCTGCTTTCATAAAAGCATTCACAGTTGATTCCTTTCATTACACATATGGAATCCTGGGAACCAACTACTTTGTAAAACAATGGTCAGGACGGCGGTTTCCCAGCTACATTTGGAACAGACGCAAAATGCGAGAGTAGAAAGCGCCCAAGGCCTTCGTATGCTGTCTTGCTTTCAGAATATTCATTATTTTACAAGATTCTCAGTATTTTTCCCTGATCTCTTGTTCAAACGTTCCCAACAGTGTCTTGAAAATCTATTCAGATCAAACGGACATGCTAAAGATAGGCATGGATTTGCCATGGGCCTGTTACTGACTGCAAATTTTCACTAGTGTTCAACTGTCCTCTGTCTAGGCTATGAAGAACCACAGATTTTTACCTAACCGCACTCTTCATGTGGGGTTGTAATTGCCGATTAGATTGCTTGTGGCTATAATCATCGCTTGATCTTCCTTTTCCCACCTACAAGTTCGCGGTTCGAGTGCCTTAGCACTAGGCACATCCACTTCGATGTGATTTAAAAAGGAGCGTCTTTTCTTCCTCTATGTAAATTACTCGTGGGTAACTATGCTGCATTGCGGGGTGTAGAAGGTTTTCATGAATGCTTCACCTACATATTGGTCAGCCGCTCGCGTCAACTCACACACCAAGCAAAGACGCAGAATGACGAACATGGGGTGATAAACTGACTATCGTGATCAGACCTGGATCGGGCTGAGGATGAGTCAGGTGATGAAGATCGGGTGCTGGCATTGAGTACACAACAAGAGGAAACCGGCAAAGAAGACTAAGATTAATGCAAATGTATTCGATCCGTTTTGTTTTAAGTGTTTTAAATGATAACTAGAGACGGCAAAGCGCGTATTATGAAGTACTTGAACAAAGTTTCCAGACTTAGTCTGTGGCATTTTGTCAAAGTATTGACACTAGTGTTTTTCAGAAGACAAAGATGCGATCACTGGAACAAGAAATTTATTGGTCTGACGTTTCGGATTCTCACTCGAATTCATCATCAGACACATTCACAGTAGTGTTTTTTATGGTGTAAGAATGTGAAAAGTAGGCATTTACAAGAAGTACAGTTTTTTTATTTTAATTTGCAAAAGTACGTCCCTGAGAATCGTCGTGTACTCCAGAAAGCTTGTAGTTAACTCCTCACTCTCTCTTCCTCTCAAAGAACTATAGATGGGTCGAACCCCTTAACAGTGGTAAGCTTGACGTAGAAGGTAAGGAACATTCAAGCCGGAATAAGTTTGATGATAGAGAACTCGAAACGCCACTCAATCGGGGCCTACGTCAACGGCTTAAAGGAATGTCAGGCGTACTAGAGATTGATAGGTCTACTACTGGAAAATGCTTCCATCCATTAGGGATGGCACGAAAAACAAGAATGTTCTAAACTGCCAGAATTGTCTGGAAAACAGCAACGAAAGCGTAAAAGCACGTGGGAAACTTTACTTTCGAGGCACTAGTTTTTGCCCCCAATCGTGACTAGTGACGAAAACTGGATCTGCTACAATAATCTTAGACGTAAAGAACTCTAGGCCACGCCTAGACAGCCGTCGACATCAACGCTAAACAAAATGTCTATGGAAGTAAAGTTGTGCTATGGTAGGACCAAAGAGAAACAGTGTACTATGAGTTTCTGAAACTGTACTTGCTGAACGATAGTAACAGTAATTATTCATTTTAAGCCGAGCACTGATCACAAAAAAGTCGGTGCATGATGAAAGGCACGATAAGTGATTTTGCAACTTTAAAAGCGGGGCCCTGTCTTGTGCACAACAAATGTAGAGAATTTTGGTGGCATTTCGCTGGGAAATCCTACCCTACCCGTCGCATTCCTCAGACGCCGTGCCATCAGATTATAACTTGTTTCGGTTGAAGCAATAGGGTCCTGCTGAGAAGCGCGTTTCGGTTGCAATGAAGAAGTGGAAAGTGGCTCAGTCGGTGAATTGCTTCAAAAGAATAACAGTTTTTCTATCGCGGGCCCCACTTCTTTACCCGAAAGGCAAGAAAACGTCATAGTCGCCTACAAAGAATGCTTTTACTGCGATATCATATATAGTAACTTTTATATAAACGCTGCGTTTTTCATAAGAATGAAACGAATGAATCCCCACTTCAATGACAGCAGATTTTTCCGGAATGAGGGACTCCTATTAAATGTTCAGTCGATTTCGTGTGAGTTTAAGGTATTGAGGTTTAGGTTGAGAACTTTAATCATCTAAAGCGATGTCAGATGCTTTCTGAATAACCTTTTCCACACAACACTTCGATTAACTCGCTCAGAAAGTCTCGTTGGAGTTGGTGTTCTAAATGTGCACAAAATATGCTTACATAGCTAATGAACTATAATTGTTAAATTTTCAGACTTCTCCGGCTTTGGTGGACCTTGCAACTGATAACAGATACCTAAAATAGAATGCATGTTTGACTGTGTTCTACGGCTCGTAGAATTTAATCCCATAATGGCCTTGAAGATATCTGTTACAGAATAGAGATAAGATATGCTAAATTGAACTCATTTAAACGACAAATGGAGATGTAAGCGGACGCCGAACCAGTTGTCCATGGAATTGTGAAGAATCTCGAAAATATTTTAAGGATTAAAAAACGCTCGGAAAGCATGGGTTTTTCCAAAAAATATACGCCCGTTTTGACAGCTGGTACTTCAGATGAGGCTTCTTTATTCTCAGATTTGAACCATTTAAAATTAGCAGTGGCAGCCAGGCCGAGATCCGAATTCGGATAGTTTTATTTCCAGCAAGATGGGGGCATTCTCACATAACCATTTCGATATCAGATTCTGCCATGAGGATTGGATATGCCAAGCCACTAAGAAAAAAGAGTATAAGGGCTCTTTTAGTACCGAAAGAATGCTTTTATCAGTTTAATCAGTAAGGCAAATCGAGACGACAACTAGCGGGATCTGCGGAAGATGGTGGGAAAAATTGTATTTTCAACGAGGTACCGGAACAGACCGCGCAATTTGAAATACACGAACGAAGGGAGTGCGAACTGGCGAAAAACAAGTTATCTAAGTTTATTGGTTAAGAAAGGTCGGCTTGCGTAGAGCAATGTGCGGCAGGAAGACTTAACCGTGATCCCAACATTCTCACTAATTCCTATATGTAACTTAACCCTAACCTTAGACTTAACCTTTACCTGAGCCACAAATTTTGTCATTTCTTAGGATTGACCGTAAACGCAACCTTAGCATAGCATGCCTACTTGAAGTGAATAAGCACACATGTTATAGTAACAAAGACTGAGGACTTACATGTTCAGTCTATGTCGATTCCGCTTTGGTGAAAATCTTTCAACCAGGTGTTCGCAGGGCACCTGCCGTTTCCACTAACATTTACTACCTACGAACTTTTATACAGATACGTACAAAGGTGAAGTCTACGCCACAAAACCGGCAACGCTAACGGAAATGATAGCGGCTATTTAACAAGAATGCACTGAAATGCCGAACGAAATGTTTATAATTTCCCAGCATTGCGTTATCAACAGTGTCCGAACCAAAACGAATAACAGTTTGAAAGCAGACGTCGATAGTGAAGGTGACAATATCGGTTGATTCCGTTGCTTTTGGAAAATGAAGTGCATTCTAATGAACACTAGCTCAATAGTTGTTTAGGGTATGGACACATTTGTGGGACGCCTTGAATGTGTTAGTTGAGAGCGGTTGTGTCGAAGACGAGCGAGGATACTTCTTTTGTCTACAAACGAAGAATTTAGTGGTGAAATGCTGTTTACATGTCATCCAGTCTTGTGTGCGTCTTTATTTAATAAAGTTAGTATCGGCAAACCGTTTTTTTAGAACATAATGTTATGTATATATGGCCTAGAACCACAAAGACCGCTTTTGCATGCGGAAAATACTTTCCTGTCCTGTGTCAAGAGAATGAAGTGATCGATTGCCTTGGTTGCCAGTAGGATTGTAAAAGTTCAACTCTTATTATTACGGGGATTGTGCATCGGTTCTCTATCTCGTAGAACTGCTTATGGAGTTTGCGTACATTCTTGGTGTCCGAGCGATGTAAGCGGAAAAACTGCGAATATATTAAGACCTGCAGAAGCACACAACAGTAACCATCCGTAATTAACAACACTAGCAAAAACGCCGTGCTTCGGGACCCTGCGAGGTGCAGTTGGACTGATTACTGCGAAACCAATAAACACACCGCTGACACGCCGACACCGATGTTCTATGACGCGCGAACTCTCTCAATAAGCTTTGCTTCACATGCAGAACTGGTTCAGCATCCGCACGACATGCGAAGGACGCGGCGAAATACCTGGCTGGACATCGCATTCAACCTCAGTCCCGACTGTCTCCATCCGCTACTGGTCAGTAGTGTAGAAAAAGTGGATCCAATGTTGTTCAGGGCTTCCTCACTATAGCCTACATCCCATCTGAATCACTAATGCCTAAGTACTGACGCTAGCATTTTGTTCATTGCTCTTCTTGATGGGTATCTCTGCATTTTCTTGCAGATCCTTTTAAGGAACGTTAGTCTGGACGCGGCTGCCGCAAAGAATCTGCTTCCCCCTCCAGCGAGGCTTCTGCAGCGTCAAGCAGGCAACATATCACAGGCCGAAATTGAGAATAGCACATGATGGCAGCAGAGTACTTAAAGGAGTCATATGTCTTTGTAACGTCTCAAGCACGATCGCGTTGAATGCGTGCTGAGTCACCTGCACAGGTGAGGCGTCGTTAAACACCCACCAACTTTGTTCTTAACATGCTCGACCTCCACATGCATTCGCTTTGCCCCTGCGGCAACCTGCGGCGCGACTGACTGAGCACGAGACGTCAAGCTGCCCAAACAACTCGGCTGCTGACACCGACTGACGCATGTGTCTAGGACTGACTGTCAAAGTTACTTTAAATTGACCCAAAATAAGACCAACTTGAGAAGACGTAGGGGGTTGGGAGTGGGCTTTGTCTCCCTCCGTCTCGTTTAGTGAGGTTGATTAGCTTCGTTTCTGTGCGGAATAGGAACAACCCCACGGGTGTTTCTCGACTGCTTTTAACAATTGTGGTGGTCCGCGTATACGCATGACATTAACAGCGTAACCCACCCACTTGCATTTTGTCAAAGCACGCATTAACCTGACAAGTATCGCAAACGCAGCGAGCTGAGAGCTTGAACTTGGTTTTCTGGTTCATGCGTGCCCGTACTAATTCACAAGGGTGGGAAGTAGCTACTTCGGTACAGAAGATTCAGCGGAAATTAAACTAAGAAAGCTTGAACATTTTAGGGCCCAAAAACCTAATAATTGATGCAGACGCCACCCTTATCTGTCATATTACCCGCGAGTAAATAGTATCCCCAACCTCATCATCATCATCATCATCATCATCATCATCATCATCATCATCATCACCACCACCACCACCACCACCACAACCACCACCATCATCATGATCATAATCCTCTTCTCCTTCTTTTTTCCTCTTCTTCTTCTTCTTCTTCGCCCTTTCTTGGTGCTCAGCTGTCATCTGCGTAATAAAGAAGTGAGACGTAAAACAATGATATCAGGAGGTTGAATAAGAAATGAATCTAGGAAAAAAATAGTTTTTTTTACAAAAGCATTAGTTGCGTGACTGAAAACCACTCCTGTGGTTTTATTTATTGCTTTGAAGGCGCTGCGTAAAGTCAGGTAACATTTATCACTTAAGAAGAAGGAAAAATCTACGTAAAATTTTTTATCAAGAATTTGCAAAAGTACTGATAAAACATGTCTCTGTATTAAAACATTTTGCCGCCCACCTTCAGAAAGAAGGCTTGAGGACTTGTGTCAGATTTTTGACACAGGTAAAAAACTGATAATGATTTTTTTTTCAAATTAAGCCTACTGGGTGAGATATGGTTGTGCAGCCGGGGGTTAGGGTTACGGGTTAGGGTTGGAAGTTAGAGTTGGGGATTAGGGTTAGGGCAACTATTTTTCAACCACTCAAAGTACGACCGCGCACTCCCAATAGTTTTTCTTTTGCATACAGTTACTTGACCTCGTTGCCTGTGCGTTCCCCGACCCCACCTGTAAAAACTCCTGGCACCGCCGGTCCCGTATTACAGATGGCTGGGGTTTGTTTACCTCAGATGCGGCTACATAACCATATCTGACCGCCTAATATCTCAAGCCCAACAGGCTCACATGAACCGAAAAGAAAGACTTTATTCTGCATCAGGTGGAGGGTATGTTGGTTCGCAAATGCGGGCGAATTTTCAAGTTTCCGATGTTAGCATGAGTCAAAAATAAGACTGGTCAAGCACCGGATAATTTGTCTATTTTTCTGAGCTTTCGAACTATAGAAATCTGTGGTCAACAGCATGAGAATAGGCGACAGGCATTGGCCAGTCAACGACCGGTGTCGGAGGTCTGCAGTTGACTGCGCAGGGTCAGGCCAATACATCGGTTGACTGAGTTCTCATCCTTAGCCCAGGCCCCACTCACTTCTCGACTTGTCTTGTTTCTGGTATGGATAATAAACATTGTGTTTGCGAAGTTGAACTAATGACCCTTTTCAAAGGTGTGGATAGCCACTTGCTGCAATTCGTCACCCCGTCGGACGGCCAGCCTATGTTTGGGCATGGGCGATCTGAGCGTGAGTTCAGTTTGATCTGTGTAATTACAAGGACAGTTTGGGCGCGAGATACGATGTTCTACATAGACTGCCCCCTGGGCTTTACCTGGTCCATCCTGCACCTAACTCTACTGTGCGCTGTAACCCTGGACTGGTATGTAATTCTAACATCTGGTCCCAAAGCAATGCGCTTGGTCGCCTTCGAAACTTCCTACATATATGACAGAGTCCGCTATAGCTCTGGTTCTGTTAATTTTTGGGTCCTCGGGGACGGGTAAGTCGGCCTCGACTTATTAACCGTTTTGCATATACTGGTTGCGAAATATCGCGCGTGGAGTGCATTTTGCCGCCGGGTTGCTGTAATGAGCTTCGATCTGGTTGTAAAGTGTCCGCACAGATGTTCGTTTGTGAGCAACCAGAAGGTCGTTGTGAAACCCGAGAAGTCGTGTAGTGTTCGTTGCTCTCCCGTTAATTGCCGTCTCAATTCCGCTGTTAGACCTTCATCCGGCGAAGGAGTTTGGCAGTACCTAAGTTGCAATCCTGGGGTAGGCGGTTCTGATCGGTCTGGCGAAAAGCCTTTTCCTTTTCCACAGACCATATCAAATAAATATAAGCACCTAGATATTAAACTAAGCAATCACGGAAGCAAATTTAAAAGGCTCAGTATTCGCCCTGTTGGGCCAAAATTTCTCAAAGAAGGAGTCGAAGGTAGTGGGAAAACATAGATGCAACATTTCGTTGGGCAGCGAGTTTATTGAAGGCAGGGGAAAAATATCTATTCGTTGAAGGTGTTTGCCATACATTTTGATCCATATTCCAGTATGTGAACTATGGAGTTAGTCACAGTAATACTTCTTCTCATGAACAGGCGCCTCGTAGAGGAAAAAGTTGTGCGAAATATATATCTCAACCTATCCTGTACTCTTGTCAACGACAATATACATTCCACATTAATTGTAACAGCCTGTCAAAATTATACAGTTATTGAACCTGGATTCCACTAGTTGATTATTGTTCATATGGTACATACGGATCTTAGTTTTTCATTCCCCACAGCGTAGGACTACTCATCTTCTCCAGTAAGCATGTTTCCTACCAAACTTGTATAAAATGATCTAGTTAATACCACCCCCTCTCCCTACTCATACCCTCCACTTGCATTTAAGGGCAGACTGTAATCGACCTCTCTTATCACTCGCCTCTCTTACTTGTGCCCCGTTCCCACGTAATATGCTGCCCGACGAGAATTTTTCGGAAGTACACGGGTGCTCATCATTGGGTCTTTCGAATATTTCCAGGGGAATTTTCGTAACACATTTGTAAAAAAAACTCGTCAGCCTCAGTGGTTTGAGTACGGCTAACATTCTAGACGTATGAGCAGTGACGTCTGGCCGGGAGCCGTGAGTTTTCTCACATTTTGGTTAAATCACCCGCTCAGCCTACTGCAACCTATGAAATCCATCAATTCAGAGATAGTAAGTTGACTGCCCAAGCACGGCTTTCTAAGCTATCAGTCTAGAATACACCAGGTGACCACCAGGCTCCCATAATTAATAGGTCGGTTTGGCAGATTTGAATAAAGATGTGGAAATTCCCATAGCAGTAATCAGAAGACAAGGTGGCGCTGCAACTCTCCGCACTCCTCCGCTCTCACCCCGCCCCTGACACTGACTGCTATTACCTCCCCCCCTCCCCCACATTCCCAAACCCCGCCTGTGCTTTAAGGCGAACTTTTATCGATTTCTCTTATCGCTGACATGTTTTACCTCTACCCCGCTCCCATATAATTGTACGGGCCCGACGAGAATTTATCGAAGGCTACTATGCTCGCCACCTCGTCTTCAGATTTGAATAAATCATTTGATCCATTAGTGAATTCTATGCGTTGCATCAGACTAAACGAGTAACTTTACCCAAATGTGATTTAACTCATGGTTTGGTCTCGTAGTTCATCTGGTTGGAGTGTTGACTGTGCTCAACTTTTGCCTCTGATTCCAAGATTCTAACCTCAAGGGGCCGTAACTTTTTTTCAAACGAATTATTCAACTTTTCCAGAAGAACATATTAAATACATTTATTTTTAAAATCGTACCTTACAGTTTGGCCTGAAATATTTTGTAAGGGATTGATATTATTTATGAAAATGTCTTTGACGTACTTTCGCATTCCCATGAATACTCTATGTCGGCGAAAATATTCATAAAATGTCGATGTTGCCAAAAGAAAGTACATATATTTATCCTAAAGTTGCCTTATTAATGCAAAAAGTATACATTTTTGTGAGTTACATATACGTGAAGATGGGTTTAACGAACTGATTTCGACTTCAGCATACGACAAACCACAAGGAGCTACGACTACCGTTTGGTTACATATGGTTTTTATAGTTTGTTTGGTCATTCGGTAGCTTTAGCATATTCTGCAGTCTGTCCTATAATTATGGGGCCATTTGTTTTTGTTGAAGTCTTGATGATTTTGCGTAAATCGACCCGATTTCGGATTAGAAAACACAAGGTGATAGATGTTAGTTTAAACACAAGTTAAACACAAGATGGTTTAATATAGTATCAAGTAATAAGAATGGTCAATTATAAGGCCACTTAACACCCTGGCGTTTCTCTGTACCTAGCCTGGAAATGCCAAAGAGTGCAAAGGTTGTGTTAAGTTCAGGTTGAAATGGCCGCCACCACAGGTAAGTAGAATTCCCATGATCCAGTCGCCGATAGCGACGAGTGCGACACATTCTTACTAACCCCCCCCCCGTTCAAGTGCTATTTGTGCTACTACGTCTTAGAACATAAATCAAATTTTCGAACCTGTCTAATGACTTCAGGTTAGGTTTTTCTGTGTGCAATAACCTCAGAAAAAACTCTTCGTATTCAGAGGGGTGCGTCGTGGGCGTATGTAAAACGCATTAGACGAGGGCTTTACGCCAAGTTAGACACCCCGCCTCATCTGAATTGCATTTATTAATACCATACAAGCAAATCCTTCTCCTCCCACAATATTTGGTCATTTTAAAACTTGGAAATACTTCTAATCATTTTGGGAAAAACTAAGCGATTATAACACAAACTTCTGGTATCATGTCGCTACCAATGGGAAGGTGTCTGGCTCGTGGAGTGTGAAAATTGCACCTAGAACGTTCATGATATTTGTGTTCCGGACGGCCACAAGGGGTTTTAAGAGGTGATCCTCTTCCGTAGTACTGTAATTCAATTGAATCATCCTACCCCTTACGCCCGAGGCACAATACGTTTTTGCAGAATGTGTCGGACAAAGCTCTCTTTCATAATGTTTAAAATTCGAGGAGTGATTCCTTCAGGAGTAAGCATACGTTAGATATTTTTACAACAGACAATAAACAAGGACAGGTCTTCGGGAGAACTTCGAATATTTAAGGGTCCAACAAACTCATGCTAATGCTGCAAAGTAGAAATATGGTCGTTCCGAAGTCAGTTTAAATTGACAAAAGCGGCTAGCGTGGCATATAGCCCTAACATATTTAAGTAGTGAGTGGAACACGGGTCTAGGCATCTCCGGAGAACTATCTTCGCTTAGTGTCTTTCTACTTAATCCAAATAACTTGATATATATTAGCAATATTCTCTCAGACCCACCGTCGTTAACAGCGCCTTTTCAATTCTCTGTCAGAATGACGTCTAGTCGGCCGAGTTTATCCTAATTATTGTTGTCTACGTCCTATAAACGTTTCGGACAGGCCTGTAGTCACCAGCATGTTCGCTGTAATATATAGTTTGTTTTTTCGTTATGCTGCAGGCTGCTACTCCTACTAATGTCTTAAAGCTGCACGACGATAAGTTCCGTTGCCGACAGTGTCGAGCAAAGCGTATGTTGGTCTTAGCAAACCTTGCCGTCCTCTTGCTTGGCGCCGCCCCCTCGATTCTTTCCCT